AAATTACAACTAATCTTGAATTATTTTGTTTTTATAGTTCCTTGTGTATGCAGCCAAATATCTCTTAATTTCATTTCAAAAAGATCAGAAAAACTTAAAATACATCTATATATAATATGGACTCCTTATACAATTAAAAAAAACTTAAAGTAAAATTAAAATAGTTTCAAATCAAGCACAAAATTTTAAATTATTTTTGAAACTAACTTTCTAGTCTCTCTCTTCGCTTCTTCCAATCTTCTAAAATATCCTCCACTTATTATAAAACTTAGTTTTTGTATAATGTAATCAAATATTAATCTTGTCTCACATATAGTCATCTTTTAGATATCAATCATACTATTTTTATGATAAAATCTGCAAGAGCCTACCTTTACCTTGTTCTAAAAGTAATTGTATAATTTTTCTATCAATTCTATCTTGTTTTGATCTATATATAGTCGTTCAAAAGGTAGCAAAAGCCTTTCAAGTTCAAAAGCACCATAGAACATTATTATAAATCTAAATGGTCTTTTAATTATATTTATTATCTATTAAAATATTATAAATACTAATTAGTATGTAAAAAAAACATAGGAAAGAAAAATCATAATATTTTACTTATTTAAAATCAATTGATTTAAATTGAGTTAATTACTAGATTTTTTTTAAATGTAGAATAAAATAGCCTTAAATTGATATTAGTATTATAAAAAGTTTATTTTATTTTATAAATTTTATTAACATTTTATATATAATATTTTAGGAATTTTAAGAATAAATTTTTAAAAATTTGTAAAAATGATTTTATCACTTTCATAGGTTATTGTAAAGAAATGGAGCGAGATTTGACAGATTTCCAAGACTTTAAGACTAATTGAATATCTTTCAAAACCATGGTAAACTTAAGAATGAAAAAAAACAAAAAAAAAAAAAAAAAAAAAAAAAACTTGTACTAGTAGAAAACATAGTGACCTATAGCTAGAGTAGTATTTGTAAGAAGAAATGTGTACATGTATCATATGAGTTGTTGCAGCTTGGAAGTAGGTAGGAGTATAAAACTAAGGCCTTGTGGCCCCTCTAAGATATCTACAGAGCACTTTGTGAGCCTTGGTAAAGCTTGAATCATTAACTACGTAAACTAGGTATCCTTGAAATAAAATTTGTTCATTTAATATTTTTTATTTTTTATTCTTATCCAAAAACCTTCATAACTTATTCATAATAACTTGGAATCATCTTTATTTTTATACTATTAGAAAGATAGAAGAATTTCTTTTACTAAAATATATTTTATATTTTTATAATTTATGTTGTACAAAATAAAGATCTAATTAAAAAAAACTATAACAACTTTTGTTGTGTGTATTTATATGACTGAATTTCTTTCACTTCTTTTGTACTTCTTTTTCCAATGTTCTTTGTAGATTGTACCTCACTTTATATAATTAATTACAAAAAATTGTTAATTAAGTCCCACTTATAATTTGGATTGAACAGTGAATTTTATCCTTATAATTAATAGATAAAATTGAGATTACAAAAAAATAGCCTAAATTTTAAATAATATATATATATAGATACTAATAATTTTAAAAAACAAAATTAAGATATTTAAAATACTTAGTTGGTCTTTATAAATAATAATAATATTATAAATTTATAATAATAATAATAATAACTTATATATATATATATATATATATATATATATATATATATATTGGTTTTAAATTATTAGTTTAAAATTTGTTTCATTATAGCAATTCAAATTTTAAAAATTAATAATAAATTATTTTTAATTACAATTATATAATAAAATCAAGTTATATTTTATCTTTGGCTAACCAAAGTCTATGACAATCATAACTTCCAAAATTGGTATCATTTGGTTTCAAAATTTGGATATTATATTATATATTAAAATTCTAATATAAATTATTTAAAATATATATGTATATATATATATATATATATATATAAATTCTTTTAGGTATAAAACTTTCATTATTTTTATGTAAGAATTTCTTAAGATTGATGGTTTTTTTAGATATTTAGCTATATTTATAAATGGTTATAATCAAAAATACTGTATTATTAATTTTTAAAATTTGAATTGCTGTAATGAAATAAAAATATCTTATGTAAAAATAATACAATTTTTATACCTAAAAAAATTTATATTTTTATTCGTTTTTTAAAACAAGTTGCTTTAGTAAGATCTTAAGTTTTAAATTAAAAACACAAAATTTATATACAATTATTTAAGAAATATAATTTTGTAAAAAAACAAAAATAAAATAAAAAAATAAACAAACAAACTAACTAACAAACTAACTAATAAACAAGAAATTTATAATGTTTAAAAAATTTGTAAATAAAAATTTAAGAAAAAACCCAAAGTAACAAAATGATCTGATTTAATTGCTTAGAAACAAGGATTGTATATTGTATTTCTTAGTAATTTTTAATAGCTTAACTTAATTAAATTTGTAAAAAAAAAAATCTCTTTTTAAAAAAAAAGAATATATATGTATATAGAATATATATGTATATAGAATATATATTATTTTTTTGGCATAAATATACCTATATAATATTTTTAGAAGAAGAAAAGATTGGTATCAAGAGATGGTAGTCAAAGTATTCTACCATATTTGTTCTACCAAATTTGTTTTAGTTCATTCAATATATTTTGATAGATAATCTTGTGATTTATAGTTTTATTTTTAAAGCCATGATGTTTTTTTAATCTAATTGTCTATAAAAGTCATTAAGAAAAACCTAAGTATATATATATATATATACATAAGTACCATACTTACTATAAGATGGAACAAATTGTAAATAGCAAAAGAGATTATAGAACTTTAAAATTAAAAGATAGAATACTAGAGTTCTTATAGTATTTTATTAATATTTTACAATCACAATGGTAATATAATAGCTGATAGAGATTATATATATATATATATATATATATATAGATAAATAGATAGATATATCAACATAATAAGATGCTCTAAAGATCATTCTAATTTAAAAAATAGGGTTGTGGATGTTATTGTATCTGATTTCACCTTAGTGGTTGTAGTAAGTATACAACCATTAAAAATTACTTTTTATACTAGACATTTGATGAATGAATGTTTAAATTCATTATTTAATCAAATTTAGAGTTTTGAAACTATTTCTAATTAAATTCTTTAATATAGAAGCTAAAGTATGATAAAAGTTGCAATATTTAAGAATATATATAACTTAGCTAATTAAATCTACACAGAAGAAAAATTAATACATTAACCATTAGTCAAATTCAAATCCAATATTTTTTTGCTTACAAGCTTCATCTTTTACCAAGTAGACAGCATCATCTTTATCTATCATAACATAAGTAGGGTTATCAAAGAAGAGATTCAACCTCCTGCCTATCCTTTCCAAACATAGAAGCAACATGAGATTTGCAAGCAAGAGGAAAAAGCTCTACATATAATCAATACCATTGTTAGCAAATGATAATCAATTGGAGGATCTTTTTATCTGAATTTTAAATCTAGGGGTACTTATGCAGAAGTAACACGTACACCATGTACATGTAAATAAAGAAAAAAATAAAAATAACACCAATATTTCGAGATGGCAAAATGGAAGAAGAAGAAGAAGAAGAAGAAGAAAAAGAAAAAGAGGAAATGAGAGCAGGCAAGCATTAAACACGGTTTGCAGGGCTCTTACAGGGGATTAGTAAATGAACCCAGACCTGAAGCACCGTGTTCTCGCCACCTATCGCCACCATAAAGCCCCCGAGCCTCGTTGTCAGGCCCCAGAAGTATGGGTGTAAGTGTGTGTGAGTGAGCGAGTGAGTGAGATCGCTGGGGCTCTTCTTCTCAGTGGGGACCCACGCATATGCTTCGCGCACCCATGACAGCAACACGGATCAAACTGCAATTCCAGGGCTGGATATGACGTCTGAGACTTGTGGGCAGACAGCTTTTCCTGTTCATCAACAGCACACCTGGTCGAGTCTGGCTTCTCTCTCTCTCACTCTCTCTCTCACACTCATACACACTCCACATCTCACATTCTCCATCACAGTCCAGATTTTGGCTATGTCTCAGGATTGCCTGGATCGGCACCACAAAAGTAAGTCTTGCTGCCTTCGCAGGAAAGGCTTGATGTGACCAATCATATAAATGGAGAAATTAATGTCAAGTGGAAACGATGTATGGATTAATGTGAGAAGACGCAGCACACATTCACGTCAGTTTTGCTGTAATTCTGTCTGGAAAGCTAGGAATGGGGTGTAATTTCAATGTCATGTTTATTTATTTTTTGGGGTGTGATGTTTTTCAATACTTCACCTCTGGGCATTGGGAAGACATCGAAGTGTGCTGCCCCATTCGCCTAGCTTTCTATGGTCTTCAGCACGCTGACTAGCATTGTCGAGCTCACCTCCAGCGAGGAGCCCAGCTTCTCACCCCCTGCAGATGATGTTGATCTTAATCCACGTGAAATTATGAGGCATTCTCAAACTATCCTGTATTATCCTCATTAGTTGAATAGACATGGTAGAATACATGTCTGTTAGCATCAGATTCACAAGTAAGTGTTATGAAAGCAGTTGCCCAGTTTGCAAGGTAACGTAAAAAGGTGATTGTAAACTCGTTCAGGTTCTACGCTTCATCCGATGATCATGCTCAGGGGTACTGCGCGTTTCTGTAACCGTATTCACTCTTCTTGACTGATCATCTGTTTGAGGTGAACAAGGAGATCTACGCATAAATCATACCTTCAAAAATTCGCGGATTTGAGCCGTTCTACCTACGAGCTGTAGGTAAGTGGTAGATGGTGAGTTTACTTCCGGTTAATATGAGTTTCACCTAACAAATATGTGCGTTTCAATAGGAGAACTGATCAATAACATAACATAACAAAATTCAAACATTGGAACAGTGGGTGTACGAAGTGACAGATTTCATCACATTACTCATTTTAATGAAAGAAATGGAAACATTAGATATAGATTAGGGATGTGGAGTCAATCGATTCTTCCTTATCATATATCGGATTGCAGAATACAGCAGCAATGCTCACAAGCAGTTGAGGTCAAGCTCAATCGCAGGGCGTTGCCAAGCTCTGTTGAGTTGTGATTGCGCTCTTCTTCACCTCAACGCATCACAGTCGACAGGGCGCAAGGAGCACCACATATAGTCAGGTAACTGTCAATGAAATCGTCGTTTGCGGGCCACCTTCGCGCGGCCACTCATCTGAAGCAAACGTAAGAACAACCTGTCTACAAAAGCCTGTAACTACTTATCAATTTACATATTTTTTCTCTTTTTTTGTTTTTGTTACTTCTTCCATCATGGCCTAATATAAAACCAAACATTCATCATGGACAGCGAAATTACTCGCACTGAAATATGTCCAAGGGCTGGGCCGACCATCGATGGCCAGCGCTCAACTGCAAACGAGAGGGATGCTTCACGAGTACGCAAAATCCTAGACAGAATTTATATCTAACATACGAATATATTTAGAGCCTTATTCGCAGCTACAGAGAATGTCTGACCCTCTTTAATGAAAGCTCCGCTGAATGCTGCTGTTGTTTTGAGTTCGCGGCTATGTTCCGTGAGTGATCATAATGCCAGAGGGCCAGCGTCATTGGTCATGCCTTCCACCATGACGGCAGGACGAGCGCTAAAACTAGTGGCCTTGCCATAGATCTGGGTATTTGCGGAAGGAGCTCCCGATTTGGTGAAGAAAGCGCCATTGAGAAACATGTCACCAGAGGATCTCCAGTTCCAACTGTCTTCATCATAGTTTCCTCCGTCGTCGATGCGCTTGGTTACCTGAAGTGGGAGACTTTCACTCCTTTAGAACATAGCCGTTTACTTTCAGATAGATGCAGCACTCATGAAAGAATTATAGAAAGCGTCAAATTTCGATGCATCTCCAGGTGGTTACAAAGTGAACAATGTGTGTCATTTTGGCAGAATAATGCACGAAACGATCGCTTTAAGACGGGTGGAGTGGCATAATCTACCTCTTTCTTAAATCTGGCGTCAGGGGCGAAGAACCGATTCCCTTCACTGTTGATAACTGGATCTTCACTTCCTCCAATTGCATACATTCCCCACCCTTGATAGTTGTTATTGACAATATGGAACGTACCTTGTCTGCACCTGCGGCGACATCGATGAAAAATGTGAAGGTAAATAGTCGTGAAACAGCCCACTGAAGGTAGCCGGAAACGTTAAGTATATATTAAAATACGATGTTACGACGAACTGATTCTACCTTGGCATGCGCTCTATGAGGTTTTCTCCAAAGTGATTGAAGGCGATCGTGACCCTCATTCCTTTGTCCATCGAGTCCTTCGGGTGAGCGCCAAGTAACATCACCTGTGCAGTTCAGAAACGACGGGTTCAGAGTAGACCGCAGGTTCCCTAAGCGCATTGTTAGTGCAGCCTACAATTTCAGAATTAAACATCACCCACCCGAAGTGAAATTGCAGAATTTGTTTTAAGACCAGCAGCTTGATAGTCATGGTAAATACCTTATCGTGATCTTCGAAGTAGTTGTTGGAGATGGTAACATCCGTGGATCCTTGAATGACATCAACGAGGCCGTCCGCACATCTCGAGAAATAACAATGGTCCACCCAAATGTCGTGCGAACCGAAGATATTAATTGCATCTCCGTCACTTTTCCCTCTCTGTCCGTAATGTGAAGGAGAGCTCCTTACATCTGCAGGTCCCGTAGACTTGCAATCATGAATATGAATGTTGTGAATGATGATGTTGTTCACATATTGAACTGTGAGACATGCTCCTCCAGCAATATGGACATTGTGTCCACGACCATCGAGGGTCTTGTAGCTGTTCATAATAAGTTCTTGCTTGAGTTTAATGTTCATGTTGCGGCTGAACACAATCCAGAGAGGCTCGGACTGAATGACACCGTAGCGAAGTGTCCCTTCCTTGGGATTAACAACATCCTCGTCGCTGTCATCAGTGACAACATATATTTGTCCATTTTTCCCACCAATAGCATTCTTGCCGAAACCGAGGGAGCAACTTGCAAGCTGTTGTCGGTTTTGATCCCAGTTAGAATTGCACCTCCAGCAGTCGTCGACGGGGTTACCATTTCCACAACCAGCAAGAGATCTCTTTGTCAAATTGGACCTTCATAACAAAAAAAACTCACGTCAGCTCAACACTTAGAAGTCTCTTCTTACGAATTTCGTTAACTATTTGGCCATGGCGACGTTGTAAATGGTCAATGCTGATGCATAAGAGGGGATACAGTCAAGTAATCACTCCGATCTACACAGGTGGACACTGCAACCCAAGCTACAAGCCAGACTAGAACAACGAGTACAAATCAGATCAGCAACGATACACTCTACACCTACGCCAATCTTCAGCAGGTCCGAGACATCGGCGCGTTCAGCATAAGGAACCATACCTCAGATGTGTATCAACAGGAGCTTCATGACGAGCTTCCTCAGCTTTCAAGCCGGGACTTGCGCCAAGCATCTGCACTTTTTGTGCAGAGCTGCTAGGTGGTAACAGCCTCAAGGCTCCACAGAAACGCCACTCCGACAAGATAAACAAGAACACGGCGGCACAGAGCGCCCGTTGCCAGATCCACCACCCCATTGCAACCAACACAACTCGAAACTCAAATTCTCAGAGCTACACTCCCCTGATCTTAAAACAAGCGAAAGATACTCAAGAACAGGACCCGCCAACAACTACGTCTCCACGACGAGTACTGGCGAGTCTAAATTAAGGCAGAGGAGAGGTACAACAGGTCGTGGCAAGATGGCTTTCAACGCAGCAAGCCAAAATGTAGCAACGATCGAAGGACAATGGGCGCAGAGGCAGGAGGGATGGCAGAGGACACTGGTGAAGCAGACCCGACAACCGATCCTTATAAATACAAACGGACTGCCTTGCGCCTCGCGAGGGGGCTGCGAGGTCCTAGAAACGCCGTTAATCAATGGTGTTGCCACAAGCAAGTCTCTCAGCCGCTTCTCGTTGTCCTGCGGTCAGAGCGCCGCATCAGTTACCATCAGCTCAATCAGTTATTTTATTTAGTTTGTTTATTTTAGGTTTTCTGTTTTTCCTGTAAATTTTCGCCTCCAATGACGCCCTCTGACGCCGACTTTGACGCCAACTGACACCGGATCATTGAGTCATCTCGCATCCTCCCGACTCTGCACTTGTCGGTGGGATTCATCGGAGTAGGCCTGCGCTGCTTTCACAGTGGCTTTAGATCAAATCTGAGGGAGTGACGTTTTTTCTTTATTTGTTAAATTATTTTGCTGTGAAGGCAGCAGATTGTGCAAGAGTTCATTTCTGCCAACAACAATGAGTTTGTCAGGGTTCCTCACTCATTATCTGCAAAGCCCACAGTGGAATCCCTTTAAGGAATTTATCAACAATTTGTTTTGAAGCCCTGGTTGCAGTCTATCCAAACATTGAGCTGACGAGGGATAATAAACCTTCCAGTTGTGGATACTAAAACGGTAAAAAAGCACAGAATCTTCCGCCACACACGGGCACTCTCAAGTATTTTGGTGTGGAACTTGGACATGTGTGCAGCAAAAAGATAAAACATAAATAAATAAACCATTACAAACAAAAATATACAAGAAGGAAATGGTTTTGAGGCGTAGTTGTTGGCGGTTACCTTTTTCTTTATCTTGTTTATACTTATTTATTTATTCAACTATTCTTGTAATCCACTTTTTGAAATCTTCCCTTAGATTTGTAAGACCTTGGTATTATAAAATTGATAAAATAATAAAATTAACTCTACCAAATGTTGGATTCTAAATATCCGAACACTCTAAAATTACTTACGAGTCTATAATGTAATGATATATTTTATTCTATTACATATATTTGTAAAAAATAATCTTTTTAACATTTTTTTTTTTTCTATTAAGTTATGGAGTCAATTTGCATCCTGAGATAGGACTTATGGGAGGCTATAACTTAGCAAGGGATAATTTAGTACCATTGAACTATGTTAATTCCATTATTTTTTCATAACTTTGCAAAGATTATAACTTAATTATAGATAACTTAGTAGAGATAATACTCATTTATCTGACATGTCATGCAACCATTATTTTTTCTTTTAAAATCTCTTTCATAACTTCATTTTTTTTTGAAATGCAAGTATTTGAAATTCTATAATCACATCTTTTTTTCCTCTTACATGGCTAGACATTTACCATCTTTATTATCTTCTTTTTCTTTACTACATATACTTTGGAAGTTGTTACTTCACACATTGCATTGATTTTGTTGAATTCTTACCCAGTTTGAAACCATCCAAGATATCTTTCACTCGTTTTTTTAATCATGTGGAAGCTATTATATCTAAATAGTTATTCCACAGATGAAGTTTATTTTTCTTTGATGGAATTGGTGAGCTTGTATCCAAGTATACACCTACTCTTCATTTTTACTTCTTACTTCTTACCCCCCCCCCTTCTTCTTTTTCAGAATTAGTGTAGCTAATTTGTTTAAATCAATAAAATCTTTGAGTTTTCCAGTAGAATACAGAACATCATCTAGTTCTAGTACAAAAAATAAAATAAAAACCAAAAACTACATCAATCATAAATCCTAAATGTAATCAAATACTACATGTAATATTTTTCAATTGATGAGTAGTTAAGGTTGAGACATTGAAGTATATAAATCAAACCCTGAATTAATTATATGGACTCCACATCAATAAGAAAGTGTTCACACTTTGAGATGCATATTAAAAAGTGTGTATGTATATATAAATGTATGGATATAGTTTTTTCTCACATGGGGAACTGTGCCCAGGTAGAAAGAGACCATGCCATGAGGAGTGGGAACATGGGGAACTGGCATTACTTGCCAAAGTAACATGGATGGTGTTGTAACTACTTAGCCTTTGCTTTGTTTAGCTTGGCCTTGCTTAGGGTGTGTGTTAACTATCATTCTGGCAAAACTCCTTTGATGGTGTAACTAACATGTTTGCATTTGAGTGTTTGGAAGTACCTCAAAATTCATTTGAACTACTCATGATGTATGTTACTTTGCAATCACTCACCACATAAAATGAGTGAGTGAGTGAGTGAGTGAAAAAGAATGACACCATCCTCCCACCATTTTGTTCCTTTACAATCCCAATGAGAGGATGCCACTTGGGTGTTAAACCCTATAACTACAATGAGAATGATAACAACTTACACCCACTCTAGACACACATGCCACCCTTAACAGATGTAAATGAACACACATGTATTTTCATTTTTTTTTTATAATTTTAGTTTTCTGGTTTATATTTAATTTTTGGACTTAATGATAACACATGAGTTAGGTTAAATTGAAAGAAAAAACAATACCACTATGGGTAAAAAATGTTTAGAATTCTTGATATGATTCTTTACTACAGTTTGTTTAATGAATTTGAAACAGAATATCATGGAATCCAAAACAACATTGGTAACAAGCACAAATTGTGTTGGTTTGACAATGTTAAATTTTTCTCTGACATAAATAATGAACATTTTATTGACATTATGTTGGCGTTGAAGTCAATGCAAAATCTTGGGATGTAAAAATGTGTGAAATAACATCTTGCAAGACTTTAAAGTGTAAGAGCAGTTTGAAAAATAACATCAAATTGACATTGAACATTGGTTACAAGTCACATTTTGATTTTATAAACAGGGTATGTGTTTAGTAAAAGCATTTTAAGTTTGAAGCTCATGATTAGAAAGGGCTTTATAGTACAACTTTCAATGAACGTAACATTGCTTGAATATATTATAGCCATATGCAAAGCCTGAAATGTTTATGAAAGTGGTTGTAATCAAATATGAAAAAAATAGGTGAATCTATCCAAAATACAACCATAAATAAATAAACAAATAAAAATTGAGATGAGAAACTTTGTGAATTTTATTCTCAGTGGATACTTCAACTATTCCCACTACAATTTGAAAATATTTACACATTTTTTATAGGTGAATTAAATAAATGTATAAAATTATACATGTTTTACTTTTTTCTTTTCTATGATGTATTTGCCCTGTACCAAGGAACTTATGCTCAAAACTTTTAGGTTTTGAGACTAGGACACAAATTGCAATTATCAAGGTAGTGTTGATGCTACAAGTCAAATCAAGGAGAATGTTTGATGTTGCAGCTTGTGCAAGTATTCAGAAGAACTATGCTCTTCAATAGCACTGCCCCCCTTTTAATTGTGTGATTTTATTTATGCTACTTGACTCCTCCATTCAGGCTGTAAAGAAGCCTCCATAAGAAAGAGACCAAACCCTCCAGATCCTCGCTACCCACATGCCAACATGGAGCTCTCTGACCCCCCCCCCCCATGTTCTCCACGGTTCCCTTGAGGCTCATTACGTTCCCATTCCTGTTCCCAGGGATTTGAACCTCAGTCTTGTTGGTACTCAGCCCCAACACTTGTTGAAATCATGATGTGATAACCACTCCCGTCACTGCCCTCTGTTCGAAGCATGACTATTCCCACTCCTGTTTTTTAACGAATGAATCGTTTCAAACCCGGTTATCATCCATCCACCGGATTCCAAAACAGAGCATTCTTTCCCAAGCAACCGTGGGATGAAAACACGAAGGATGAAGTTTTTTGCTTTTAAAGTGGGATTTGAATTGGGCGGTTGCAATAACGGTAATCAGCTAATGAGGGTAATCAGTGGGTGATCACTCACTAACCCTGGTCGCAACTCACTAATCCTGGCACTACCACAATCCGCTCCTGACGCTGCTCCCCTGCCATTGGAGGCGTGATTTTGTCTTTCTACAGGCTTCTTGTGATACTTGGATGGATGCATTTCATCCGTCAGACACCGATTGCACTCCCTTGTCGGAGTGTAATAAAAATGTCTCCGAAAGTGGAAACCAATGGAAAGCTGTTAAAAATACCATACTAGGATTTGGTGAGGATGAATGTGGATGAATGCGGATGCGGAGCAGAAAGGCGCAACAACCCAGCGTGGCTTTATGGGGACGAGGAGGTTTTGGATTCATACGCCAGTTCCACATTGGAACTCGTCGTGGTGCATGAACTCGTGGGGGATAATTGGTGGCGGAAGTAATGTGAGCCGAAACAAAATAGAGGCGGAAAAGGATATTTATAAAAGGAGCTTCTATAATGTTGCAAAGGACGTGTCAGAATGTCAGCATAATATGAGGAAGTAGCCCAATCTGCCTTCCTTGGATGGCTATCCACAGTACTATAAAATAGTGATGTAATTATTTTATTATTTTTCTCGTTTCTTATTATTTTTACTAACGTTTTGTGTTTTTCTGTGGTTTTTTTAAAGATTTCTCTTTGTTGGCTTAATTCCTTGAATTGAAAGCAATATTGTACTTTGATGAGCATCCTTACTTTGTTTATGGTGGTGTTATGTTCTAAAACAAAGTTTAACTTTTAGGGTTTTGTATACACGATAGTGCATGTGGTAACAACTCAAAACAACTATTATACTTTTTTTAGATTTTACTTTTAATGGAAAAGACAAAAATAGCAGGAGGCGTTTGAAAAGAAAGTGTGGGTTGTGACATGGGACCATTATTATACCTTGACTAGGGTGGGTTGAAAATATTATTTTGGCTGAATGATAAATTGATCAATTGAATTGCGGTGGTATAGATGTTAAAACACGTAACTGGTAAGTTTAATATGAAAGAATTTATTTTTAAAAAACCGCAAACTATGTGAGTGCTGAAATTGATGTTTTGCTTCTATTATTATTTGTTTTAAAGTATGTTGTGATACTAGATTTCCATTCTTAAGGTGGTGCCACACAACATACTTGTGCACTGGTGGTGTGTAGATGATTATTAAATGGGAAAGGGACCCATTATAAATCCACTTTTCTTTGATTCTATTTGTATAAATTAAAAATATAAATATAAATCATCACCTCACTGTATATATATA